CATATAACATCGCGCGGTAACAAAGTTGTGATAAAGGAAAGAGTGGTATAAAAAGGGGGGTAAAAGACCAGGAAGGGGGGTAAAAGAAAAGTTATATAACATTTTATTATTTAATAATTTATTAAAATACATAAGTTTGTCCAACTCCCTGTGGTTGTGCTCATGCCACAATCCTGGCGCGTTTCAACCCTTGCGATATTTTACTATAATAGGGCGTGTCTACATCGCGCGTTAAAATTTGCATATAACATTAGCGCGTAACAAAGATTGTGATGAAGGAAAGAGTGGTATAAACAAAGATCAATGATTACTTGAAATCGATACCAGGAAGGGGGGGGGGTAAAAGAAAAGTTATATAACATTTTATTATTTAATAATTTATTAAAATACATAAGTTTGCCCAACTCCCTGTGATTAGGCCAAAAAAACTTATGTTGCCTTCAAGTCGGAAAATTGAAAAATTGGGTCGGTCGGTCAGATTTTTTTTAAACTCGTGAAAACTAAGGGTATTGTAAATAACCGAGGTATATGGGAAAAAAAACGCGTCCCGATATTTTATATTTTTCGGTCGGTCGCTGAGGGCAACAAAACAATTTTTTTTGGCCTTAGATACCAACAGAGTTTCAACTTTAAAATATTCGTGATAAGTCTACTATATGTCACTGTCACCAATGAAAATAACTGTATTTCTTTTTTTTTCTTAGCATTTGAATGGAATGATGCTCACTGTGATAATACAAATCCATTCATCTGCAAATGGTACTTTCCATAAGTTGACCATCGATGACTATAATACAATACTGTTTTTTTCCAAATAATCAAAACAAATCTATCGATATCAAATAAATCTTCTAGTGTACCGCGTTGTCTATTGTGTATTTATTCTACCTTTGCAACAAATTGTTCGTTCGTTCATTTAAATTCTTTGACTTTATGCTAATTGTAAACCGGCCACACTTGTATTCATTGGCAGAGTGTAATTTCTACCGTTGCATTCATATGCAAAGTGTAATTGTGGCATATTTTATAAACCGCTACTGTAAATCAGACATTGCATCTTGGCTAGGACAGTGCCTGGAGTTGACAAGGAGATAGACTTCTTCTTCAATTATTGAACAATTTGGACATGTAAGGGGTTTAACGACTAAGATGTTGGATTTCCAATGGAGCTTTCTTGGAAAAAATGGGTATAAAAAACGTCATGCCTGTGTCAAATGTTACGTATTGAATTATTCATGAGAAAATGACAATGAATACAACACATCTTTTGTATTTATGCAAATTAACAATACAATACATCTAATCCATCTCGTTTTCTTATGTTTACAACTGTAAATGCCACAGCTTTTGTCAGCATTTTGTAAACGCACGAGACCGGATGCCAAGTCTGTTTTACAAGATGCTGAAAAAGATGCGATTAACTATACGTAGCAAATATAGTGTATGCTTGACACATTTCCACCAATTCTCTCTTTCCATCATAAATTCACAAAATAGTCCAGTGTTATAATAGCCATTTTTCAGTAAAGACTGACAATTGACCATAAGTTTTTCTGTTGGCTCCAACACTATGGTTCATTTCCAGTAATATTGAAGAATATGCGAAAAAAGCGCAGAACAATTTAGGCGAGAAAGTCTGGTGATGAAAGGGGTAAATTTTATTCAATGGTTTGTCGATTTTTAGAGAATTTGTTTTAGATTGTTAAGTTTGCTCCAAATTGTTAAGCATCTCGATATATGTCGCCCTGACTTAAAGATAAGGATATATTTTCACCCATTGACCCTTTAAGCAATGTGAGAACTAAACACATGTGTTCCTGGTTGATATCAATTCTTATTTGAGGTTTGTGGAACTTTGTAGATAGCATCTGCAATGTTGAAACCTCGTTATTGAGTTTACTCAAGAACACATCTAGAATCGACGATCGTCGCACATAGGTGAGCATACAACTATATTAACACGATCCGCATTTAAGTTCAATGTGACTGGGAATTTAGCAAACGTGACGTGTACACTAGTAGTGACCGTGATATACAGTGCTTCCGGTCTCATTTGAAGAAAACGACACGATATGGTAAATACAGTGTCAATCAATGCAAACATATAATGCGTGCGTGACTCAAACCGATGCACACGTACGGCACCAACTCGCCTATCACGTCTATCCTATCGGCAACCAATCATTGAGAATAATACACATGTTAAACCCACCACCAACTTAGGCGGTTTCAATCGTATATTCAGTCAAGAAACATTTGTCTTTAGTTGTGATTTGTGCTCTATAGTACTATTTTTGTAACTATATTTAAAGGGCGGCAGTCGTCGTGCCGTGTCCTGTTCGATATGGGACTCATAGCGACGTATCAACGCGTGTAAAATACATTGTTTATTCACATGAAATTCGAACACGCGCTGTGCGACGACCATCGCGCTTTAATGTTGTCCGGAGTAATGCAATGCATGCAGGGAGGCGATTGAGTCGTCTCGTAGGGTGAGATAACACATGTGCATTAGCAATATTATATTATTGTACATTTCTGTTACAGAGTTACACAATGTGGTGTCTTTGCCTGTTTCTTGTAATTGCTGAACTTAGTCTGGTCAGCGCACGTAAGTAGCACACCGGGGTAACGATTTTTCAAATCAGTGCAAAATAAATAACATGCAGTTTTGTAAATATTCAAATGTTTTGTAAGGTTTAGGCAGGAAACAGAGTGCATGTGAAGTCAATATGATTCGGACGACCATCACACCATTCCACCGCTTCTATGACGTATATTGGTGGCACAGCGGCCGTTCACATTGTTGATATTGTTTTGAACTTTGCATGACAAATGACGACAAATGTACAGTTGAATTTGAACGACAATGCTTTCCATATTTACGTCATTTTTACGTCACACATAGGTATGTTGTAGTCAGCCATCACTTGTATATTTACGCAGTTCAATTAGGTTTAAATAAGTAATACATAGCTGAGTATAGGGTTGTATTTGGAATGGCCAATTCACATTCAACATGTACACCTTTCATCGCGCCCTCTAGCGATGAAAAGCTACTATGGTGTGAATAGCTAAAATGAAGGCTGTTCACGGCGTTGATATCTGTAGTCGTTCGCCAGTGAAATAATTCAGTCTATTTGTTTCTATATTTTGCATGACTAAATACTACCCAAGCCTTCACAGTTGTTGCTTTAAATTACATTTTCTTTTACTCATATACGTCATTACATTCGTCACATAATCTTTTCGTCGCTATGAGGCGCGACTCGCACAATGGATAAGCATACGGTTTCTAGTTCCCGGGCGTCTTCCATGTCACGTTACCGTACACGCTCTGAAGATAAAACACGTTTTCTATATTTTATGGCGGTTGTGGACTTTTAAAGATAAAGTTAGAAGTATTAGGTACACAATATGGAGTAAAAATCTGAGCTAGTAAAGTAAACAAAATAATGCCTCCTTCCAACACATAGTTGCTAAGCAACAAGAGAACTTGTCTGTTTAATTCGACATATATGTCGACTAAGACAATATCTTTTTCACTGGTACGTCGGCATGATGTAACTTCTAAATATCTGTTTACAATATATTTTGTAGAAAATTGTCCGAGGTACTGGTTTAGAAACAACGAAGAATCTTACTGTTATCGATACTTCAGTGGCCTACAGACATGGCAGAAAGCCCAAGACATATGCGAGACGTATGGGGCTAATTTGGCCAGCATTAAAGACGAATCGGAAAATGATTTTGTATTTAAACTCCAAGGGTATGGATGTAATAACGGTATTTGGATTGGGCTATCGGACATAGTTACAGTAAGTTGTATTGAGTAGTGTAAAGTGATCGATTCAGTGAGCGAGTGAGTGCATCCTATCCCATTTATCTTAAAGGGTGTTGGTCGTTGTGCTGCGCATGTCGACATTTGTGTTGATAAGCATAGAGTTTTCCACATTCCAATACGTTCTTCTAATTAAACCAAGCGTACGAGTTTTGACCCCGGAGCGACGTGTACTATTTAACGTAAGCGATTCTTTCAATACCTCCCAATTACCAAATAAATTATCCAATTAAAGCATGGTAATTTGTAATTTGTAATTTATTCATTTAGAACAGTACATCCATAAATGTTTTTTCATGCACAGCATATGGATATAAAAATTAACATAGAATTAAACAAACCACTGTAAAAATGACAGAGAACACAATAAAGAAAAGCATAAATAGGGTATAAAATAAAATGACTACGAAATAATATGATAAAATTACAATAAAAGAATGACAATAACATAGCAGTCCGAACAAAACGATAGAATGCATAAATGGGGTAAAATAAGAATTGACAACAAAGTAGTAAGATAAAATTATACAATATTATTAGCAGCTGTAGCTGCGCGATATTTAAAAGAGCGAGTGTGAGATTTTGAAATATGAAATCGATTTCTGGTGTTGTAGGAATGGATGGTAGAGTTTGAAATGAGAAGGTCAGATAAGTATGGTGGGACTAAATATTGCTTGCATTGCATAGTTTGTCTGTCTTGAATGGTTGGCCAACCAAGAGCTGATCTTGCAATGGAGACAGGTTCATGTCTTTTCAAGCCACATTGGATGCGTACAGCAAGGTTGACGATACGTTGCAAACTACTTTTTAGTGTAATGCTGCAGTTAGAATACACAGTGTCACAGTAATCAAGTAACTTCTAAGTTTTCTAAACGTTGTTCTGCGCAACATTTTTTTTCTGAGATCCTTGTCTCGCGCATGCGTGGCACGGCGACCACCGCCCTTTAAGCTACGCTTAAATAAATACATTTAGGTTAATCTGAGGTATGTTGTGTGTGTGTGTGGTGATGAGGTATTTGAGAATTTGTAAATACAATGTGAAAATGATGGATGCACATGTTTAGACATATTGACGAATTAGTACCATAACTATATTCTATTGCCCCCAAGGAGGGAACATTTAAGTGGTTTGATGGAAATGCTTTGGTATACGAGAATTGGCATGTTGATGAACCGGACAATAATGGCGACCAAGACTGTGTTGAAATTGATGGCAGTAGAGGAGTCGATTGTAAGTAAATTTTGGGTTCATATATTCACATTATATTGATGTAATATTCTTTTAAATCGTTTGCCGCGATATCAGTGCAAGCCAACAAGTCGAACAATTACGTCATTATATCAAGAAATAATAATAAACTGTCTTTCAAACATAATTGACCATAGAGCCACGAGACTTTGATTCTCATATAGTATGTGTTTTTGTTTTTCAGATTCCAAGTGGAATGATGCTGTGTGTACTGATACAAAACCGTTCGTATGTAAATGGTTTTTACCGCTGTGATTACGTCACATACACGATACCCGCCCTCATCGCACACATTGAAAGTGAAATATGTAATTGATAAATTGGTTAATGGCAAACAATTTGCTTTTTTTCACTGAGAATAAAATCGACTTGGAAGAATTGTTTAAACTATCATAATAAATGAATGTTGAACTAAATGCATATAGAGCATATAATTATTTATACACCGGCTAAGTGATTGGCAGCGCGAGTAGCCAATCAGCAAAACCGTCACAGGTGGTGATTTTCTGGAGGAATAAGAGACAAGCCATGTTACTGGTCACAGCTGTACACTTTAAAGCACCTGGTTTGAAAGTTCCAATGTTGTTGTTATGGCAGTGTGTGGCTTGCCACTGAGTGGTCAGTGTCAACATATGATGAGAATTATTTGCTGCGAGGGAAATTGTATTAACGTTGCAAAAATACAGAATTCGATAAAAAAAACATATATTAAAATTAATGATATGAATTCAGAATTGCTAAAACATAAAAAAAAATATTGGGTTTCCAGTGTGACAACAGCTTTTTATTTTATACAGTGGAACAACATACTCTACCGCGCACGTATGAATTATATACACACCACACCAATTTGAAGACAGGTCACTTCTGTTTTTCTGCAATCGATGAATTATGGCCTACGGACAACCCACGCTTTTGTACAATATTTTGTATGTAAATCTGTTTTATGGTGCCTCGAATTCATTGTATTGCGATAGTACATATATCTTGTAAACTTATTAAAATACGCCAAGAAGGAGTTACTGAGTAGACGGTAAATCAATCTATGGTTGAAAGTTTTGGTGGTTTCCGGGAACCAGCAAAACTTAAGAGCTGTTGATAAGATGATTATTGTCGCCAGTTCCATAGTTCTGTCCTCCCCATACAAAGAAGCAGGGAGTTTATTGATAATCACGTGACAAAGCTCATATAATCTTGTTACCCAGTCGAAATTTGTTGGATTGTCGTGTTTACTTGTTGCGTTTGTTATAGAATCGAACTCCTGGATGCAACTATACTCATGGAAATCTCGCGAGATATTGCAACTTAGTGATTCAACGTCAAGGAGTAGTGAGCACAACAGCGAGAACGGTCATTATATAATCGAATATTTCGAACTTCTCAATACAATATATTCACCTCTTTGGGTATTTTTTAATTTATAACCGAGTGTTTTGGAGAATGGTTATGTCACAAAAATGAATAACACATTTGAAAAATATACGTTATGGTCATATCAACGCGAATTTCAAGGTACTAGTATTTAATCCCCTGTTCGCACGTTGTCTGATTTATCATTATGACCAGTCTAGAGTAAACTGAACTGTATTCACCCAAAAACTCTGTCAAAAATAGTCCCATCTCAGATGATATCAGGTCACTTTTGACACATCATTTTGACATGAAACACGACTTCTAGTGACAATGCGCTTCTCTTACGCAAGTTCAAATCGTTGATGTCATTTTAAATCGTTCATCAATGAAAATGATGTTTTTGAGATATTTTACTTTATTGTAGAAACACAATGAAACACAAATCAGTGGTCGATTTTATTGTAATTGGTGTTACAAAACCGTTTCATCACCAAAGAGCGAAATTTATTGAAATGATGTAATGATGACTGTAGTAGAATAGCAATTCAAATAGTTGCCTGTATGCAAAACACAGACAATGATGAAATACAACCTAGGAGACAAAATACGAAAATCGACAGTTATTTTTGTCATAATATATCTTTTACGTTCATTCTCACTATACTATATAAAACAGCAACAAATGTTGACAGCGTTTGAGAAGCAAAACAGTGTGATAAATATCATACAAATTTCAATCAAACAATCGAACAAGGGATGTTTCATAATGGATTTCCTGTTGAGTGCTCCAAAATAAGAAATGATACATGCTAATTTGCATAATCACCTTCTTTGTACCAGGTTTATCAAATATCAATTTCAAACAATATCATTAGCAATCAGACAAACAAACAAAGCACTCGTTTATATTAATTTATGCTGTTTATTTTGTTCAATTCTTCGCGACATCCTTCGTGGTTCAAGTGGTGAGCGTGAATAAGATGGATACGACCTCGATATATTACCTTCTGTTTGCTGACATTGCGCCGAGTGTGTCACAGGCGATGTTTTATGCTAACAAGATGGCGGAAACAGGCAAAAAGCGTGCGCGTACTGCATTCTGGGTTCGATTGGTGCCATTGTGTTTATAATAGGCAGACACAAAGTGGGGTGAATGCGAACACGATAACATTTTAACAATAATTAACCAACTGCTTATCACTCGTAATGATTGGTGCATATCTAAGCTTACTTGAAATATATAGTGAAGTATATGTTAGGGTGTATCACGAGGGAGACTCATTACAACGAAAGAATCGTGTCATCATGGCCGCAGTTCGAGTATTTATATTTCTTCTGATCTGTTGGACAGCATCTGCAGCATCAGTGGATGAGAAATATGGTACGTCGAGTCATTAGCAGGTACCCCTGCTAATTACTGGGTTATTGTTTATTATTTGGCGGCTTGAAACCTAGTCTCGTTCAATCCTACGAATTTGTAATTAATCTTCCATATTGTATTGTATGTTAGCAATGTGCATGTAATTTGAATTTCAATCGACATAACTTTAATTCAGACAAACAATACATCTTCCCACATATGCCAAGCGTCAAGAAAAACTTATGCCTATGCTGCATATATTTTATATATATATATGCATTAATGTATTCAAAGTGCTACAGTGGTGTTCGACACGGGCCATAGCGACGTATACAACGCGTGTGAAACACATTGTTTATTTTCACGCAATTCAAACACGTGCTGCGCGATGACTGTAGCGCTTTAAAAGCTTTTCAATTTTCCAATAAATATTTGGCGAATATGTTTATCTTCGTGTAATTTTGGTGACAATGACGAATCATTTTAAACTCTGCTATATATGGACGTAAATCTGCAATTCACATGTCCGGTGGTTATTGTACGTGCCAAGACAACCATTGCATATGCATATTACTGTTTCCGCAAATAAATACTAAGATGTGTGTAAAAGAACAGCGTTCTCGAGTCATTATAACTCAGATTTCAATGTACAGTATCCAACAACAATGTTAACAATTGCATGTCTGTCCATATTGCATATTTAGCAGTGTCTTGTTTTACCTTAAGAAAGAAAGTTATTGCAAGCTCGATTCATATGACAAGCTCGAGTTTATTTTTATCTAATTGCATTTTAAATTAATATATGTATTACAAACCAAATTATCAGTCTTCATTGGTATTTAGGTCATATAACTGCAGAGGGCACATGCCCGGATTTATGGTACCCATACAACGGCTATTGCTACAAGTATTATGAATGCGAAATGGAATGGACCATGGCGGAGGCACAATGCCTCACCGACAGCCCTACTGCCCATTTGGCCTCAATTCACAGTTCAGAGGAAAACGATTTTGTGTTCGCATTTCAAGGCGGCCTAAATAATATTTGGATTGGTTTTAATGATAGAGCACAGGTGAGAAATATTATTATCAGTAATTCGCCTTATAAGGTTGCCGATTTTTTAATAGTAGAACATTCGCTAGTAAAACCTTTGCTGCCATGTTTGATGGGTAGTACTAGTATTTGATCGTGTATATCAAAGCGGTGACTCGGTTTTATTGACCAGGTGGGCTCAAATCCCAGCATTACGATGTGGGCTTATTACAAAGCCGTATGTATGACTGCTCATGCTCAGTCTAAAATTACAGAAAACAGTTGTTGAAGGATGGATTAATTGAAGGGGAAGCTTGTATACATTTAATTCCAGCGAATATTGAATAACAATTACCTGTATGTTGCCATCACGCTCATCGCGTTTCAATCTCCGCTCACTGCGAGAGCCGGACTCGCGTTTTGCGTGGAATCGAACTTAAAAACAGGACAAATCAAAGTATTGTGTGGGGTTCGACAAAAGCGACAAAGTATTTGGGAGGGGGTATTGTCATGCTTAATTTGATTTGATGACGGTTCATTTCAATGAAGTAAGGGTACTTCCTTCATCTTAGAATCGACTAACACGGAATTTCGTCATTTGTTTAGGAATGTACTGCACTGCCCAGTTACGGTGCTGATGGGTTTTTTTGCTAGTCGCGATTTTTTGACGTTCATACTAATTTACCGCGACTGTATTTTTGACAAATCCTTCGTAACATACTACATCGGTTAATAGACTACGTCTACAACGCAACACGACAGATTTACACGTACTAAGTGACTATTTTTATTTGTTTCAGCAATATACATGGGAATGGTCTGATGGTAGTCCGGTAGACTACACGAATTGGCACTCAGGGGAACCCAATAACAGCTGTGGACTACTTTGTGAAGAAAATTGTGTCGAGATGCAAGTCGGGTCTGAATTCAGTAAGAATTTATTTATTTATTTATTTATTTATTTATTTATTTATTTATTTATTTATTTATTTATTTATTTATTTATTTATTTATTTATTTATTTATTTATTTATTTATTTATTTATTTATTTATTTATTTATTAATTATTATTATTTATAAAGACGATAAGTGGAACGACGAAGACTGTACAACAAAAAATCGTTTTGTGTGCAAGATGGAGTGATAACC